TAGGTGTCGTTGTCGGATCGTGGCTTCAACGCTCTGGCATTCGACCCTCTTCAGCGTCTGGGCGTAAGAGAGCTGCCGGTAGGTGTCTTTCTTGGGCTTGGTGTACCCGATAACTCGAAGGAGCAGTCGGTGGTGTATCGACCGCAGCATCTGAGAGTGGCCCCTGAGTGGTGACCATGTCATGCAGCCGTACAGCAGTGCCTCCATCGCCTCCGCCTGGAGCAGGTACAAAGGAGAGAACAGCGCCCGCCGGGGCCGTCTCAAGTCTAATAGCCACATCAAATGTCCCCTTGCTCTCAAAGCCCTATCAAATGTCCCCTATAATCGAGGGGACATTTGATAGGGCTTTTTGAGAGCAACTGGCGCAAGCGTGGTAAACGGAGCACGAAAAGGAGGCTTTCACGATATTCCTCTACAAGCTGGTCCAGCCAAGAAACCAACAAACTTGCGTTCGTCACGCCATAGGTTATCGAGGAAAAAGAATTGAGCCGCGTTCGGCATATCCCCCGAATCGCCCAACCAAGGCGGCTACGCACGTGTTAGCAAACAACAGGTGATTGTCCCAGTTCTCTCAAAACGGAAGATATCACCCCCAATTCACATAGCTATTAGATAGGTTTTGTTGTTGTTGTTGTTGTTGACTTCACATTAAACCGTATGCCAGTTGCTAAATGCCAAAATCTAGCAAAGACTCTCGGCCCGTGGTCACGAAAGTGCTGGAGCCATCTGAGGATCTAAAGAACACGCACACGTAGCAAGAAAAAGGTGTACAAGAGCCCGAAGAGGTACTACTACACCTATATATAATCCCTGCAGCACCGTACGCGTGCCCAAAACTGAACTACACGTCCGTCTCACCGTTCGACTACAGCAACATCACCCCCTACTTGTCCCACTCTGTACCAAAACGAATGATTGCCGACTACAGCATACTTGCTGTCTGAAGTGCTGTCTGTACAAAAACACCATGGTAGGCATGGAACAAGAAGCTGGCGGGTAAGCCCTGGCTCCTCAGGCACGCCGAAGGCGTGCCTGAGGCAAAGCGCCGCAGGCAAAAATTTTTGGGCTAAGGCAAAATTTAAGGCACTTGCCTTAGTTGCCTTTTGATGCCTGAGGCGTGCCTGAGGACATGCCTGAGACTTGCCTGAGGAGAATTATTGCCTTAGATGCCTTAGTTCATGCCTGGCGGTGCCTGAGAAGGTGCCCTAGACTTGCCTGAGGGCCATTCTCGCCACATTGTTTTGTCTTTGGTGGGATGAACAGCGTATAAGTGGGATGAAACAAAATGCGATGCCCTTGTGTGGACTGCCATTATATAGAGAAACAGCAGAAGCTTCAATCGTCACTCTTTTTTCGTGGTCACACCCAATTTTTACCGTATCCCTTTCCGTCAAAACCTCTGCTCCTACTAGCGACCGTGCTTGATGTCTGTGACCTTAGGTCTGCCTCCACGTTCCATGTTTACTCCTAGATGAGTAAAAAATGACACCCAGAAAACCCCTAGAGAAGAAATCTTGAGGAAGAGTGCTGAGCTAGTTCACGATGTCCTCTGCGCAGGTTAGACCAGAGGAAAATGAATCGACCCCAGACACACAAAACAATTAGCCACGTATATCAAATGGCCGCTACACTACCTACCATGAAATGAATGGCGCCCAATATCAAGGTATTACCCCCGATCCCGACCTTGACGTTCACTCGTCAAATGTCACACCATTTAACGACTGCACTGCACTTGTTTGGGAAGCACTTTCAACCTACTGCTCGAGGCTTCCTAGTCGTCTCTACCTCCCTCCTTGCCGGGACCCGGCACCCCCCGTGGTCTGCATGTAGTAAG